TATATATAGTTTTTTGAAGATCCAGCAATGGTGAAACTCAGTTGAAGATGAAGATATGTAAGGGTTTTTACTATTTTTTAAATATTTATACATTCTATATTCAGAATGTTTAAATATAAGTTAAATATTGTTTAATAGCTTCAGATATATATAGTGCTACTGTTATTATATACAAATCAATAACTAATTACAAGCCTTCCCAGGAAACGGGTGCGGCTTTTCGTCTTGTATGTTCACGCATTAGTATTTTAATTTAAATATTGTTTTGTTTTTTTAGCTTGGTCACGGCTGTTGGCAATTTTTACTATATGCATTGCTGAAAAAAATTTTAAAAAACAAAAAAAGCAAAATAACAAATAAGGAAATTAAAATAAACTTAAATAGAAAATAATAACAATAGTTTAAATAATTTATGAACTGTTTTAATTTTTGTTCATAGTGGTTATTATTTTTGGCAACAAAATTCAGTAAGTCAAAGCAAAAAAAAAAACAAAACAAAAAAAAAAAACATTAAAAGGATGACTTTTCTTTATTTTATGTTTTATTTTAAAGAGGAAAGCAAAAATATGTTCTGCAATCTGTTTGTAAAATATATTTGTATAATTTTAATGTTACAAGTATATATCAAGGGTTGAATTAAGCGATAGCGATTTGCAAACTCTGGAAAAATATCTGATCTTCAAAATTTTAGTTTATGCAAAGCTGTGTACTTTGTTTTCAAGGAGCAAATTATTATAAGTTTGTTAGCGAGAAAGTTATAAAAAACAAAACAAAACAATAAACTTACGACTACAAAAGTAATAACACTTTAGTCACTAACTGCATTATAAAAGTAATAAAACTATAACAGTGTTATTACTTTTATAAAGAACTTACTACTTTTAAAGTTCATTCTTTGTTCAAACAACATTATTAATTCTAAACATTAATTAAAGTAGAAAAGCAGATACTCAAAATTATTAAAAACTTCAGAAACTTTTACAAATCATAAAAACAACTTAATAAAAATGTGCTGTATAAAAACCTAATGTTATGAAAAACGTTACAATTAGTCCGTAAAAATGCGCAATCATTTTAAAATCAAACAATTTTTATTGTTTGATTTTAAAATTAACGCACGTTTTTACAGACCTTTAGTAACGTTTTTTATAATGCTAAACTTTTAATACATTACATTTTTATAAAGTTGTTTGTCACATTTTTATAAATTACTTACGTTTTAAATATTATTTGAATATCCTCTATTCTTTTAGATGCTTTTCTACTTCAATTAAAATTTGTAATTACTAATGTTGTTTTAACAAAGAATGAATTATAAAAGTTATAAGTGCGTTATAAAAGAAATAACACTATTATAGTGTTATTACTTTATTTTAATTTCCTTATTTGTTATTTTGCTTTTTTTGTTTTTTAAAATTTTTTTCAGCAATGCATATAATAAAAATTGTCAACAGCCGTGACCAAGCTAAAAAAAAACAAAACAATATTTAAATTAAAATACCAATGCGTGAACATACAAGACAAAAAGCCGCACCCGTTTCCTGGGAAGGCTTGTATTTCAAAACTTGGAAACGGTCGTGACCAAGTTTTCTAAAATAAAATACATGTGTGTGGTCATACAAGACAAAATCTGCACGCCATTCCTGGCAAGGCTTGAATCAACATATTTAAGAACAAACACATTGAGAAAACATCAAGTTAAAATATTTAGTTGTTGTTCCAATGAAGTTAAAATATTATGGGGAGTTAATTTTTTTGGCAGACAGTGGTTAACTTATTTCAAAAGGGATTTAATCTATATCAAAATAGATTAACTCCCTTGTTAATTTTTTACAATGCAGAAGTTAATTTATTTCATGACACCGGCGTGAAATAAGTTAACCCCTGAATAAATTAACTCCTACATTTGGGTACGATCCTTCTCAGCCTAGTACTAAAACTCATGAATATGTTCAAACTATTGTATAAATTAGTATAAAGAAAATGCTTTATCTATTGGAATCAAATTAAAATTACTGATTCTTGATGTCAGAACTGGATGAAACAGTGCATTGAAAATGCTACAATCTTTCGATTGACATGATGCCAGCTATGAAAAAAAACTTTTAAAGCATATAGGTATGATTGGGCTGATTATATAGAGACAAGCATTCCTGAACTAGTAACAACTCTTCAACCATGTAAAAAAGCTATGAATGCCATGAGTGGAGATGATTGGGAATTAAGCATTGCAGAAGGTGTATTAGAATTTTTTGTAAGAGGAATTGCAAATAAAAGAAAAAGTTTTATTTGTGGTCATTTGATTGAAGAAATTGAAATTGAGATTTTTAAAAGACTGTTAGTCTGCTCAAATTTCTCAACAATCTAGGAGTTTTGAAAAAAAGTATCCCATTTCTTACTCTCATCAAATAAAGAAATTATTAAAGGAGCAAAAAACTCAGGCTTATATATTTCACTCCATCCAGTAATGGTGACAGTGATGATGTTATGGAAATAGCTTTTGAAGCTTAGCAGACAGTCAAACAGGCTTTCAATTATCCTAAGTTACGCCTACTTGTTCCCTTAAAACTTCAAACTTGTCTAAAAGTTCAAAGACAGAAAAGAAAATCAAATGTGAGACAACAAATCCATGTCACTGATCCTAATGATGAAGATACTAATGATTTGACTGCTGAAGAATTCAACAGCTACATTAGGACTGAATTCAAATCAGAAAAGTTATGCAAATTAAAAATGTTGTTGAAATGAATCAAGCCAACATTGATTCAATGTGAGCAAAGTTTTTTAATTTCAAGCAACAATCGTAGTAAAAAACAGTAGAGAATGACAGCTGCAACTTCAAATGACTTAAGTCTTTTGAAAAGTTTTTTCAATATTATTATTAACATTATTTAAACATTAGAATGAACATTAATTTGGTAAATGTTGAAAACTTATGGTTCATTAATAATAACAAAAAATTATTAAACACATTTTTTGAAAAATTTCACTTTGCTTCATAGTTCTTTTATATTTTTGAAAAACCTTGGTTTTATATCAGTTTTGTGTGAAATTAAAAAAATGTTTAAATGTCTCTTGAAAAATAGTTTTTGAGACTGAAAACCAAGACGAAAAAACCCCAAGATTCTTAAAAAATAACATTAGTTTGATTTCAATTATTATTTTAGAAATAATTTTAGAAATAATTTTGTTTATAAGAATTTTACAGTAACTGTCTTAGGTGCATCAAAGGATATTTAAAATTTTATAAGTTACATTCAATTTATATTAGAGAGCTAGTACTAAAGTTTTTGAATAAAATTACCCATAATGTTAATTCTATGCCAGGGTTCCTGATTAGCACATGAACCTTTTTTTTCAAACAGCTGTAAAATAAGGAAACATAGTTAATGTTTATTTTATTGTTACATTTTTTAAAAAAATCTGTTGAATTATCTTGAAGTTGCAATTTTTTAATTTATTAACTCTTACTCTCAATAAAAATAAAAATGAGGTTCCTCTGCTTTATGTGTTTATATCAATAAAAATAAAAATGAGGTTCCTACTCTGCTTTATGTGTTTATATCAATAAAAATAAAAAGAGGTTCCTACTCTGTTTTATGTGTTTATACCAATAAAAATAAAAATGAGGTTCCTAATCTGCTTTATGTGTTTATACCAATAAAAATAAAAATGAGGTTCCTACTCTGCTTTATGTGTTTATACCAATAAAAATAAAAATGAGGTTCCTAATCTGCTTTATGTGTTTATACCAATAAAAATAAAAATGAGGTTCCTACTCTGCTTTATGTGTTTATACCAATAAAAATAAAAATGAGGTTCCTACTCTGCTTTATGTGTTTATACCAATAAAAATAAAAATGAGGTTCCTACTCTGCTTTATGTGTTTATACCAATAAAAATAAAAATGAGGTTCCTACTCTGCTTTATGTGTTTATACCAATAAAAATAAAAATGAGGTTCCTACTCTGCTTTACGTGTTTATATCAATAAAAATAAAAACGAGGTTCCTACTCTGCTTTATGTGTTTATACCGATAAAAATAAAAATGAGGTTCCTACTCTGCTTTATGTGCTTATATCAATAAAAATAAAAATGAGGTTCCTACTCTGCTTTATGTGTTTATATCAATAAAAATAGAAATGAGGTTCCTACTCTGCTTTATGTGTTTATACCAATAAAAATAAAAATGAGGTTCCTACTCTGCTTTATGTGTTTATACCAATAAAAATAAAAATGAGGTTCCTACTCTGCTTTATGTGTTTATACCAATAAAAATAAAAATGAGGTTTCTACTCTGCTTTATGTGTTTATACCAATAAAAATACCACTTTACAATTTTCTTTCTGCCTCATTATTTTCTTTTTATAACTTGTAATTCAAATGTTGTTAAAACATAAAAATCAAACATGAAAAAGTGTTTTTTTTCTTTAGAAAAAAATTTTTTAACAACAGAAAAAATGTTTGTTTTTTTTGCATTTGTAAAAGATGTAATTTTAAAAAACAAAACTATTATCTGTAATTTTTGTTTCAGGCTATCATAATTAGGAACTGTATTTTAAATTGTCATTCCTAGTAATAATATATCACAATTATTAATGATATATTGCAATTATTAATGATAAACTCCTAATTATGCATACACAATTCCTAATTATGCATATTTACAATCAATTGTTTAAAATTAAAACACGATTAAATTGTTTAAAATTAAAACTATTATCTGTAATTTTTGTTTCATGCTATCATAATTAGGAACTGTATTTTAAGTTGTCATTCCTAGTAATAATATATCACAATTATTAATGATATATTGCAAATATTAATGATAAACTCCTAATTATGCATACACAATTCCTAATTATGCATATTTACAATCAATTGTTTAAAATTAAAACAAGATCATTAAAGTTAAAAATTTAATGATCTTGTAGATCATTATATCTTAGTGATCTAGTACATAAATATGCATTTTAAAATAAAAATTAACAAGATTGTACCTATTGCGGAGGATATGCTGTTTGACTTGGATTTTGCTCTTATTTTTTTCTCAGTGATGTGCTTTAATCTGTCCACCGACGGAAGAGGAGGGGGCAAACTATGATCCTGATTTTGATGAACTGAAAAGTCATGCATTTTTTCACTATATTGTGAAATTTCACTAGCAAGTTCACCAGAATGTCTTTGTACTTTAACTTCATGGTGGGGCTGGTTGCTAACGCTTTCCTCAACAGAGCTATGAGATTTTTTACTCAGCCTGAAAACTCGAGACAATCGTGGTTCCTTTGGAGAGTGAATAACTTTTTGGTCTTTTGGTGGACTATTCAACTCTTTATTCTTTGACTTCTTTTGATTTTTATTATATGTTGTTTGGATATCAATGGGTGGTAGATGGTTGTTATGGTGGTTATTGGGCAAACTAAACCTATGCAAAACATCTTCTTTTTTATTCAAGTTCATTAAATTGTCTAAACTTGGAGTATTTCCAGTAAGTAAAACCGGACCACATGATGCATACAGTGAGCTCCCAGCAGAGTTCTCTTGTACTTCATTTTTTATTTCTGTTTTAGGCTTTTCACTGACAGAAGCATAATAGCTAGAATTTCCTGAATTTTCAATAATAGTTTCCTGCACAGGAACAGTAACCTGTTCATAAACTTTTGGTACATAAATTTGATTACTATTTTTATTTAATCGTGAGTCGTCATTTTTGCGTACAATATCTCCATTAATCACACAGTATTTTTCAGCTAGTTCATGAAGTGGAACTACTGCATATGCTATTTCAACTTTTTGTGGAACATTTTTAATTGTTGTGTACATGTTATTTCCACTACAGCTAGTTTCTAAAGCCTCAATTGATTCTGATTTGTAATTAGAGTTGATTTCACTATGAACATAAGACTCTGTGACAATTTCAAAATCATTTTTCAAAACAACATTTTCAAATTCACTTGCTTGATTAACTTTATCATATATAGGATTTTTTTTCTCTCCAATCTCCTAGAAAAAAAGTATTAGTTATAATAATTTAGAAAAATCATCTTTATCATTCAAGGCTCAAACTAAGCATAATATGATCATTAAATGCTTTTTGTATCACTAAGATTACTTTTTCTGAATATTTCTTGTGATTCTTTTGCTTTTTTATCCTTATATAGTTTCATTAAAATATTCATTTAAATTTTCGATTCATTAAAATATTTATTTAAAAAATAAACCATTATTATTTTATCACAAAATTAACTTATTTTAATATACTTTAAGGTATTGTAATACTTAGCAACACCAATGCATTTTCAAATGCATTTTGCAATAAGTGCATAATTATGAGAGTTTAAAATGCATAATTAAATTATTTTGATGTTAATTATTATTAAATAAACTATTTTTATCATACACATACATGCTTATTTTTAAAATATTATTTGATATTTAGTGTTTTTTAGCCTTTAACTATGAAATTTTTAATCAATTGATGCTCTAACATAAATTATTTTAATACAGTCAGTACCGTAACCATAGATGTATGTAGTCGGTGACTTATCCAGCAGTTTTGGAAAATTTTTATTGAGAATTAAAGATTTATTTTTTGGAATGGGTGAATAGAGGGGGAAAGGTCAAGTTAGGCTTTTTTAAACAGATTTCTTAAAGTTTACTTGGTCTTTCAAATAAGATCTGCAAGCAAATTAGAATTGATAAATCTTTACTAGCTTTCAACGAGAATTGCTAATGTTCTTTGTTCAACTTTTTACTTATTCATTTTAATGAATAAATATTTATTTATTGTTGGTTGTTTGTTTCCTAATTTACTTAAGCTATTATATTGGTTCTTTAGAAGTTAAAAATGGCTTGTAAATAAGTTTATTTAGTATAGTGTGATTTTTATTTGATTTTGTTTTGTCTTCTCAAAACATTTTTTTTTAAATCTTCACTTTAGGGGTATATATCTTTTTGAAAAAATTTTTTTTTTCAATATCTTTACTCTAAGGGTAAGCAAAATAAATCTTCTAACCAGCCTCGAACTCCTTCTTCGTCTATTAGGCTGCCATAGATGTAAACATGTGTTACATTGTTTCCTGTCCAGGATGATGAATGTTGGATCTTCTTGACTCATTTCGTAGGTTTTTGCTTGCGGCTCCTTGATAGTTGCTTGCAACTCTTCCTGTTATCTCCTCATGAGGGTGCAACTCTAAAACTCAGTTTAATGGTTCTGAGGCTAGCTAGTAGTAAGGTTTCCCAAATTCTGTGGTAGCTCTCAGAGAGGCTGATTTCATCAACAGTTGCAAAATATCAGAAAATTAATAGTGCCATGTTGGGCATGGATGGTGTCCCTGTTAATTCTTTTGGTGTGCATGGTTGAGGCGATATAAGGAGCCTTATCTTACAACTTAGGGTTAATTAACAGAACTGAAAAAATTGCACTGCTCATTTGTTAGGAGGCTGTGCTCTATTTATGAATGAGTCAAGTTCTCTTTAAACTTAAATCATGCCAAAAGTAACCCAAAATACTAAACATAAAAAACCATCCCTACCACTGAACTGTTTTAATATATCTTTTACTAATATTCGTGGTCTATGAAGCAACCTTCCATCAGTTGAATCTCACCTCATGCAAAATTCACCAAACTTGTTTGCTCTTAATGTGACTGTTCCAAAATTAATTTTTTTCAAATAATATTATTTATTTTGTCTAATTTAATTTTACTAACGTGCCCTAGTTCACTTTTTGAAGGTACTAGTAGCTTACACAGGAGTTTGTTTTTAAAATTTGGTTTATGATCTTTTAGTGTAATAAACGCTTGCACTTAAGCAAATTTTTTTTTTTTCCACACATCTTCGCTTTTAAAAGGCTGCAAGCAACAACTAATTAGTGTTGGAAGTTACTGGAAGAGAAAAGATGAAAATTGTAGAGCAAGATAACGATTGACAGACGACTTAAAAGATTGCAAATTATATGAATCAGGAAAGCAAGATGAAGGAAGCGAATTCCAAAGAACTGATGTTCGAGGAAAAAAACTAGATGAATAAGAGTTTTTGGAGCACTTGGGAACGGTAACAGAAAAAGGATGAGACTTTATTGAATGACGAGTAACACAAGAATGAATTTTAGTAGATGGCACAAGAGACACTAGCTCTATAGAGCAGTGCCTATTATAGTATTTGTAGAAAAGAAAAAGAGAAGCAACATTACGGCGATGTGACAAAGGTTGAAGGTTGGTTGCAAGAGAAGGTCCAACTATGTTTACAATGCGTTTTTGCACCTTGTCTAATGATTCTAGCTTTTAAATTACAGGGATTATCCTGGTCATATTTTGAAAATCCAGAAAAAAAATTTCAGAAAATATTCCTGAAACAATTTTAAGAAATATCCGGAAATAAAAATGCATTTTGTGTAACAAAGAAAATCTCATGTGTTTGAAAATTCATTATTTGTATGCACCAATTGTTATATTATTTAATGTGTTATTATAAATTAATTATTTAATATAAAACATAATATTAACATCATGCACATTATCTTAACATAATTTGCACACAAAAAATGTTTAAATACTTAAATTTTTCAAATTAGTAAAATAACTGCATAGTATTTACATTGGTAATTATTATTAGAAAAGATATAAGATAAAGAAATTTGTACACACAAATTGTTATATTATTTAATGTGATATCTTAAATTATTTAATGTAAAACATAATATTAACATTATGCACATAATATTAACATCATTTGCATGCAACAAATGTTTAAGTATTTTAATTTTTCATATTAGTAAAATAGCAGCATAGTGTTGACACTGGTAAAAAGGTGCGACTGGATATGTTTGCGAGTTTGAGTTCTCCATAGAGAAGTTTTTTCTTTTTATTTTTTTAAACTCTCTATAGATAAGTTGTTTTTTATTGTTTTTTTTTATAAAGTTTTATTTCGAAGTAGTTTTATGTTTTTTTTTTAACTACTATTGTTGTAAGGGGAGAGTTGCCTTTATTGGAACACTTAAGGAATAAATATTTATTAATCAAAGATGGCTTAACTATGAAAACATTTATGATTTGAATAATACAACAGACGCAAAATTAGATTACTGAAAAAAAATGATGCAAAAAAACTTTAAATCAATGGTGCAAATGCATTTTTTGAGAAATAACTTTCAAAATGTGTCAAAACATAGAAAATAATGTGTTTTACTGAAAAAATGCAAAATAATGGGTTATGCATAAGTCTTCAAACTTTTTTTATAGAGTCGTAAAAAAGTATTGTTAGTTAGATAAAACTATATGATAAAACTATATGGTAATAAAGAACATTCATTCTAGTATTTATTAATATATTTAACATATTGAATAGACGCCTCTATCAGCAATTTTTCTAAGTTTTGTTTTAACACTCATCATTAGTCTTTGTAACAGATCTGGATCATTTTCTTTTATTTCATTTAATTTGCTCTCTATTCTTCGAACTAGTTGATATATGCTACGTGCTCTCCAACCATTACTGTATACCATCTGACTTAAAATTGCCCAAAATGTTTCAATTGGTCTAGCCTGTGGAACATTTGGTGGATTAGTGCATTTTTGTACAAATTCTATGGAATTATCAATAAACCAATTTTCTGCTTTATTAGCATAATGAGCAGTTGCAAGATCTGGCCAAAACACAAAATTATTATCTTTATGATGTTCTCTAACAAATGGTATAAGTCTTCATACATTCTTTCACATATATATTGGATGTTATTGAATTCTTTGAATTATGTATATAAGGTTCACAAAATCCATTTGAAGAAATGCAAATCCAAACCAATACCTTTTCTTCAAACTTTTTTTTCAACTTATATTTTACATTATCAGGGGCAAACAATTTATTATTTGTATAATATATATCATTTCCAGGTATATTTGAGTTTGATAGGTTAAAATATTTTTCATCATTCATGATTATATCTTTTTCATGGAATACTTTATTAACTAATCTTCTCGATGATGTTGCTGCTCTCTGTTGTTGATCTTTTTCATACAAAGGTGATTTTTGTTTTTTGTAGCATTTAATATCTGTTTTGAAATTAATAGTTCTTGAAATTGTGCTTTGGCTCACCTTAAAATATGAAGCTAAATACTTTTGACTAATACAAGTTGAATTATTTAGCATTTTAGTCAATCGTTTGACTTTCTTTTTATCCATTTTTGGAGGACAACTTGATCTAACTGAATCATTATACACACCATACTTCTCATACCTTACAAGAATACTAAATAAAGTTGACTTTGGTATTCCTTCATTTTTAAAATGTTTATATGTTAATTTCTTTTTATCACTTGAACAATTTTCATAGAACGTTACAATTCGTTTTGCGAGGGCTTCTCGATCAAACCTTGCCATTTTTTTTGTATAGAAGTCTAGATAAAAATTAAAAATGATTTAAATACATTAATGATTGATCTTCAAAATAAACAATAAGTTGAAGGTTGAAAAATTACTCTCCTTATTTAAATCAGTTTCAAAAAAAGTTCGAAGACTTATGCATAACTCGTTATAGCCATAATTCTTTTTTTTTTTTAATAAATGCAAGTGTTCCAATTAAAGCGCTGTTCCAATTTCTGCAACTCTACCCTATATCATTTTGTTTTTTAAAGTTTTTTAGAATTTTTGCATCAATACGTTTATATTAAACCCTCTATAGAGAAGTTGTATTTTATTTTGTAGGAAGAAGTTGTTTTTCATTGTTTTTTTTTTTAAAGTTTTAATTTCGAAGTAGTTTTATATTTTTTTAACTACTATTGTTGTATATCACTTTGTTTTTAAAAGTTTTTTAGAATTTACGCATCAATACATTTACAAATCGACTGTTAAAATCGTAATCACAGCAAAGTATACATACATCGACTGACTTAAATGGGGATAAGTACAGTGGAGCGTATATACATTGATTAAGGGTTTAGGTTTTGGCAGGAATTCTTTTATATAAAAGAAAAGTATTTTAATTTAATTTAAACAGAGTTTAT